ATTTTGGTCCTCGTGTAACAAGGTTTGAATTTTCTATCTTTTATGGATTACATGATGTCCCTAACATCATTTTCCTTCTACTTTCTTCTCGGTGAACCTCAAAAGAAACTTGTTGGATGCTAGGTAATGGCTTGATGCTAAGAATTCTCCTACGAACATCATCAAGGCTCTTATTTAGACTAAGTAGAAACTTATAAATTTGGTCATTCTCCACTATTTTTCTATATTATTAGCTATCGTCAGGGCACTTCCATGCTATTTCTTCAAAGATATTTACTTTTTGCCAATGATGAGTTAAGGAATTAAAATATTCTTAATAGAGGAGTCTCTTTGTCATAGGTCATATAGAATGATTTTGATCTTAAATATTGCAGACGTATTGTCGACGTTGGAATATGTTTATTTCATAGCATGCCAAATTTTCTTGGTAGTTTTATAGTACATGAAATACTCACCAATCTCGTTGGTTATAGAATTGATCAACCACAACATTACCATGCTATTTTTCAACTTTCAGGTTCGATACTTCAAGTCATCCTCATTGGATGAAACAGCCATTCTCGTGAGATAATCTTTTTTATTTTTTTCTAAAAAAACAGCATCATTGATTGAAACCATTGGATGGAGTTTTATCCATAAAGTTTGTGACCAGTGATAGACATAATAAGGGGTTCGGACACACTTGTACTTCTGACTATAACGTAGATAAAAAGATAGAAAGAAAAAAATTAGATTTTGATTATTCAGGATAAATGCTCTGATACCATGAAAAAATTTATGAGAATTTTATTTATGAACTTATAAGAAACTTTCTAAAGTATAAAAAGATATATATAGCTAAAACATCAAATCTGACAAATCCCATGATATCTTAGAGATAATAATAAATTATCTAAAAATCTTCTAACAATAAATGAAAACTACCAAGTAGTTATATATAGCTAAAACATCAAATCTGATAAATCTCATGATATCTTAGAGATAATAATAAATTACCTGAAAATCCTCTAATAATAAATGGAAACTACTAAGTAGTAATTTGGTCAATGAACCAAATTCTTTTTATTTAGGAAACAACTAAAATACCAAATGAATGATAGGTAATCAACTATGATTAGGAATCGATTTTCCATAAAATGTTTCCATGTAAACAATTTACTTACCATCCATGCTTTCCTTCTTTCTGCCTCATTTCTTGTATCCATCATTTTTGTTTTGACCTTTTCATTTTCCTCTTTTATTAAACATAAGTTCTGCCATAATCTATTAAGCTCTTTATCCATACTTACTGTAACTTTTCTTGATCTTAACTCTACTCCTTAACTCTTACTAGGACTAGTTCTCAAAGACCACCCTTCTAGGTAGACTTGAAATTTACTCGCTTGTATAAGAAATAAGACTCACTTACTCCCACAAAGCATAGCTTTCAAAAAACTAAGATTGGGACAAATACTTAAAATCTTTAATCACACTTTTCTTATCACTTTTTTAAACGTATTTTTTCTTATCTAAACTTTTTTAATTGCAACAACAATGTTAAACTAACTCTTAATTTAATTAATTTATACAATTATTTTTAAGAGATAACCTTCAATAAATTTTAAATTCATATTTCAATACTTGTAATTTTCTTTTTTATTTCTAAACTATATCCTTTATAAAAAAATTAACAATGCATTTGATCTCACTATTGTCATGAAATGATAAAATTAATTTCTTTTATGATGGGGAAAAACCACTATATATTGACATTATTAAAAAATAATTTTTTTTTCAAATAAATTAGCTAAATGAAATCTCAAACTTCGATTTTATTTTTCTCTTCAACTTGATTAAAAGTTCATGGATAATTATTCGATTGATTTGTTGATATAATAATATAAAAAGGAAGAATATCATCAAAAGTTATTTGATTTATTGACAAAATATTAAATTTTTAATTTCAATGATCAAAATTTAAATTTTAATGATTTTAATAAAAAATTAATATCATGATGAAAAAAGCTCAATTGTAGTTTTTTCGTTTATTTTTCCCTTCACACAAAAACAATATCATATCATAAGAAAACCCTGTTTGTTTGTATCAATTCCAACAAAGTTGGTGTCCAAAACTATGAAAAAAATTTCATTTTATTAATATAATGGAGAAGATGACTATGTCTTTGTCCTTTCAACGCACCAAAACCCACCTTCCTTTTGGAACTGTTGTGGTTGGATTCTTCTTTTGAGTATTTTTCCTCTCTTATTTTATTTTATTTTTATTTGGCAAAAGCCAAACAGAACTTTGTACTAACATTGTTTTCTTTATTTGTTTCCTTGACAATGAGGCTTAGGTCCATTGTCTCACAAATAATTGCATAATTCAACTGTTTCCTGATATTGTTCTTATAACATGTAAGGTTGAAGAACTCCAAAAATTTTTGGCCCACTTGTGGGGTAGATTTGAGTGAGGCACCAATAGTATTATTTAATGATTACATAAATCCATTGCATATTTCTATGTCATAGAAACAAATTATTTACACATATACCATTTCGTTTTAGTCTCATATATTCCATTTTTAATTTACAATTTTACAAAACTATAATGATTTTAAACTCAAAAAGGGAAAGATGAAACAAATAAGAAAAGTAAATAATAGACTTTAACCTAATTAATTCATATAATTATTTTTAAGAGATGCATTTAATAGAATTGAAGTTCAAATTTTGATGTTTATAAATTCGTAATTTCTTGATTTATTTTTAAATTACGATTTCTTTTATACAAAAAAATCAAATAATTAAATATAATTCTTACACGTGTCATCATGTTAGTGGTCAATTAGTGACTTTACCAAAACAATTAATATATAAAATTATTTATGTTTTTTTTTGGGGTGAAACCTTTTTCAATTGTTGAAATGGAAATTGGGATAGACTTTTAAATTGATGGCAAAGTTGTTAACAGAATCACAATGCAGTTTGGCCCAGTGAAGCAGGTGAAGCATAGGGTTTCAAGTCAACCTGCAAAACCCTTTTTCTTGGTGTATTGGTAAATATGAGCATCAAATTCTGGTTGCATTTAATCATTCAATTGAAATGTGATGGCTCTTTGAGCCCACCTCCATGTAAGTTGTACTATGGAGAAAACTAATCTGAGCAGACTAGTCATTACTCATTACCTATCTTGTTTCCATTTAGATTTAAGACAAAGCAATTTCTTTTCTTTTTTTTTTTTTAATTTAAAATCAGTAATAGATAGATTACTCCAATTCTCAAATAGGATATTATAGGAGTAGTTACAAATTTACAAATTGGATTATTTTTTATACATCATGGGTGAAGTTTTTAGATTTCATAAGTGTTTTAAAAATATTATCAGGTGTTTTTTATTTACATAATAATTTATTAATTATTTTAAATATATCTTAATAAATATGTGATAATCATTTGATCTATTAGTAAAATTTAAATTTTGATGTATCCATCAAATCCATGGTTTGAATAAAAAATCATTATATTTGTGTAAGAGTTAGTATGTAAAATTTTGATTAAAGAAATAAGATTAAGAGAGTGACACATGTTTTTTAAGAAATATTTAAAAAAAATAAAAATCTAATTAAAAAAATGAGATATATGTTATCTTTTGAAATTTTTTTTGTGTAATTAAAATTTTACACTGACATTCTATCAAATAGAAAGTCATTTGTGTAATTGAGATTTTGAGTAATTTTGATGATCTTGTAATAAAGAGAAAGGAGATAGAAATTATTTGAAAAAAAGAAAGAAAAGGACATAAAAATTGAAGTATCATATTTTACTTTTCTCCTTTTCAATTGTACCAAATTTATTCAGCCTCTTGATTTTTAGCAATAATTACCAAGTGGAGAGAAGAAAAAACAAGAAAAACAGAACAAATGTGGAGGCCTTAATTCAATCTCCCCAACTACAAATTGTAGAAAAAAAGAAAGAAAGAAAAGGCTGAAAATAACCAAAAGTACATGTGCATTGCAGGGACCTGCCTGAAAGAAGGAAAGCATCTAAAGCCATCTCTGCATAATAGTTCCAAAAATACTCATGCTCTGTGGCAATGGCATCACCTTCAATCTAATAATTGCACTGCAAAAGTACTACTATTATTCTTTACCTCTTGCCCTTTTTTTCTTTTCTTTTTCTTCCTTTTCACTCTTTGAACTTTGTATTTTCTTGCAATGTTTTTGAATGAAAAATCAGTTTCAATTACTGATTGTGCCAAAAAGAAAACATAAGAGAAAAAAAAAAAGATGGGAATGTTACAAAATTACCATACAATATGAACTAGAGAGTTTTGTGTATTTTTATAAGGATCACTAAATGTTTAATTTAGGATTAAACTTTTGGTGGATTGTTTATGTAAGAATCGAACATATAAATTTTGTCAAATAAAAACTTTAAACTTAAGCCCCAATCGTACAGGTCATAACACTTGCCATGGTCGCACATTTGTCAGCCCAGTTTTGAAGCCATGAAGGAGGCTCGGATTTAACCATTATCACAATTTTTTTTTCAACAGTCTGAATCAAATTAAATAGTCTTTGAAAAGCCTTATCAAGTCAAAATCATAGACTAGTAATCCTTTATTTCTCTTTTGCTTCAATCGGACAGCCAAACTGTAATTGGGTAGTTGCAATTAATTCAGAGCTTTGAAACTCTCGGGCTCTAGCCTGGGTCAATGCTTTAAACATTTAATATCACCTGTTAATGTTATTTGCTGTTGGATTTCAGGAGAATTGTCTGGATGGGGTTAATGTTATTTGCTGACAATTTTAATTGGGTTATGATGAAATCATACTAAAAGAACGAAAAATGATAGAACTTAAAATTTTAATAAAAACTATATAAACTTGATAAAAATAAAAATAAAATATATTTTATGTTTAATTTATTCATTTGAATTGTAATATAATAATTTTCATATTCTACAAATGTTAGATACAAAATAGATAATCATATATAAATTGCCAGGTTAACACGTAAGAATTTACCAAAAAGACTGCCTGAGATAGTTGATAAGATTCAAAATAACAAATGGTTTTATTGAAACAGAAATTCTAGTTGAATATCAGAAGGCTGACATAGATGAGCTACATTTCCTTTAAAATCCCAAAATATACTGACAAAAGACAAAAGAAAATTACAGCTTTTCCTTTCGGGTTCGGGAAACACTCTATAAAACTATCAAAGTGAAATAAATAGATTTTGAAATTGTGTTGGCATGACCCAGCCGCAGCCCCAGCCCCAACACCAACAACATAGAACATCTAAAGTACAAAAGTGTGAGATGTGCCATACTGTAGATTTGGTTGTTGCGGCTACGAGCCAAGTTAAAACAAGACAATGCTCATGATTGATCCTCGTTTTTCTCTGGCAATAATTTTCTTTCTAACAGTAATCAAGTTGAACAGATAATGAAGGATACAGTCAGTTTAATACGTAAAACAGTCGAGCGGCAGGGTTGCAAAATGACCATAATCTGAATCATACTGAGTTTTTAAGGAACATTCATGACTTGGATGGACTGCAACATGTCTGAGACAGCAATTACAAGGTCACCTGATTTGATCATTCCCCTGGCCTTGAGTAACGAGAAGGTTTTGTTAAGGTTGCTTTCCATATCATCGGAAAAGCTCAGACGGAAGGGTATCAGACCCCATTGTAGGTTCAGACGCCTCCGAACAGAAGTTGTGGTTGTAAAAGCAAAGATGGGGCAATCCGGTCGACAACGTGACAGGAGAGATGCCATGTGGCCTGTCTTTGTGTAGACAAAAATGGCATCCACCTCTAAATTGTTAGCTGCAGATCACAACCAAACTAACGTCAAGACCATAATTAAAGAAAAATGACTCAAAATAAAACATTGTATATCTATCAGCTCCAGTTTCCGAAAAGGTGTGACTAAAGTTGGCAAAGCTGATCTAGACCTGAAAAATCAGCCCAAACCAACCCATTTGACTAGGAGAAGTCCATAATTTGAACCTAAACAACTCAAAAGTCTAATCCAAAATTAAATTCATTTGACTTTAAAACTTAACAATTTGGATCAAAATGACCCGAACCTAAGTAACTCGAAAGACTTGAATTTCTCTCAACCTGAAATATGACCCCACCAACCCAATTGCCACCTCTAAGGGTAACCACTCACTTAACTGATGGGTGACATTGTGCCATCTATTCATCTACACCAAAAAAATTTTGCTACATCTTTAGGGAAAAAATATAACAGAGGAGAACAAGAGAGTACGAGAACCAGTATCATCATCATCAGGAGAAAAAGGTGGCGGGAGGAGGAAGAGAAGATAACAGTCCCAGGAGAAAAGTTGAAAAGTTGTATGCAGTTACACATTAATCATAGTTTACTCAACCCACCAGATTTAATGAGACATTGAGCAAACTATGCAGGTCTTCTTCAAATTAACTTGAGATACTTTGAGAAGTGAAGCTATCTACCAAAATTCCATGTTGATTGCATTCCAAAATTCATTACTTGAACAAGAATTATTAACATTTTAAATAAACTCAATAAAAGAAATAATCTCATATTGAAATGAACTCATGAAAGTAGCCCAAATCATTCAAATGCCCCAAAATTTAATCACTTGAAGAAAGAAAAAGAACACATAAATGACATGAATTTGCAAAGATTCTTTCCACAACATTCACCCTACCAGTTTATATAAAATTTTCCCTCAAATATTCAAAGAGCTATAATGTGTATACAGAACATTCAAAGTTTTAAAAGTCTCAAGATGTAAAATATTTTTTGTACTTGGCACCACAGTCAATTCAATGAAGAAAGAAAATACATAGATACAGGTTATATATATACACACATGAATGTATGTATGTGTGTGAGTGTGTGTGTGTGTGTGTGTGTGTGTGTGTGTGTGTGTACACACACATATGTATGTATGTATGTATGTGTATATATATATACATATATATACATATATATATATATACACATATATATATGCATGTGTGTGTGTGTGATATGTATGTATGTATGTATGTATGTATGCACAGATAAATATATTACAGAATAAAAAATTCTTACCCATCTTCGCCGCAGAATTACAAATCTCTTCTGAGATTTTATCTGCAAATGATGTTCCTACATCTGGCAGTTGCATAGCCTCATGGCGTTTTTCCTCCCTCCACCACTTCTCTATTCTTACGCTAACACTTCTCAGAACAGCCAATGCCTTTTCAGGGTACTGTCCCATAGCAGACTCACCAGAGAGCATTAAAGCATCAGCTCGCTGCCTCACCGCTTCAGAAACATCAGCAACTTCAGCTCGGGTGGGTGTAGGGTATTCAATCATTGATTCAAGTAGCTGGGAGGCAACGATCACTGGCTTATTTAGCTGCCTGCATAAATGGACAATCTTCTGCTGAGCCGATGGAACCTGTTCCAGTGGTATCTGAGCACCCAAGTCTCCTCTTGCAACCATAGCTCCATCTGATGCTTGGATAATTTCTTCTAAGTTCTTTAATGAGTCAATACTCTCTATCTTTGCAATGACAGCTATGTCACTGCACAAAATTGAGATGCCACTTTCAGCAAAAAAAAAAAAACCAGATTGATGCATGTTACTAGTTTTTGGAACACTAGAATTTATGTTACAAAAAGAGTATTAAATTTCAGTCTCTGTTTCTAATTTGCAACTGTTGAAAGTGGAATACAAGTATGTCAAAGTAGAAGCTCAAAAACCCATAAAAGATTATCAGAATTGACCACAAGCATTCCATACTTCCAAGAATGCAACGCCATGTATGATACTTACCTACCACGTGACCTAGCAGCAATATAGCTTTTAAGATGATTAATCACTTCAGCAGATTTGACAAAGGATATTGCAATAAAATCAACACCTTCTGCAATGCCAAAGTCGATGTCCAACCAATCCTGAAGTGGAAACAAAGCTTGATCAGGCAACCAGGCAAAAAAATTTTTGTTTCTAGATAAGTGCTTCATCATTTACAGATACACAACCAAGCAGGCAGCACAACAGAACAAGAAGGTAATTAAATGAATGTTACACATGCATGGAGGCATACAACAAAGACACAGGCTTAAAAAACTCAAACATAAAAGTTTCAAAATCATGAGAACCTACAGAATAAATGGCAAAATCAGATCGCAAAATCACCATTGCTGGGTTAAATGAGTTGGATTAGCTATCCTACTGCACTTGAAACAGATTTCCATCTATAATTTATGACTATTGTTCATTAACTTTTTAGTATATCATTGGACTTATTTCTGCAACATTACACAAACCAATTCCTTATGATTGTATGGAAAAAGAAAATGCTACACACATTGATTTCATTCAAAGAAGCTCAAGACAATGTTTAACAAATCAAATAATTTAATACCAGTGTGTAGGACTGTAGGATATAGAATAATTCAAACAAACGCAGGGTTAATTCAAAGAGACTATAAAACCTATAATGTCATCAATGCCTAATGTCAGATTCCATTGCTACTATATATATATAGATTATTCAATACCAAGTAATAAAATTCAAAGAACAAAAGAAAGAAACAAGTAACAACCTTGGAAGAAATGGTAGGAAGCATAGCATTACGCTCACGAACAAGGCTCCCATCCCTCCAGAACGTCAAATTAGCTCGCGGTAGCAACAACCCCGGATCGGTACACCTGCACTTAACATCAGGACCAATCTTCTTGATCACCTCAAACCTCACCATTCCACCGTCAACCAAAAGGTCATCCCCAACTTTCACATCTATATACCAACATCAAACAATCTTATTTAAATCACCAATAAATCAATTTGCTTATAATTACTTTTTCTTTGACTAAAAAATAAGATTACAAACCTTCAGCAAAACCGTCATAATTCACATTAATTGTTCGCTCTGGCAGCATGGAACCAAAAGCTCTAACACTAAATGTCCAGATTTCTCCATCCTATATTCAAAAATAAATAATTCAAAATTAATGAAATAATTTTTTATTTTTTCAAAAAAATCTCTCATTTTTATTTTTACCTCAGCTTTGGTGGAGGCAGCGCCACCAAGATCTCCCATGTGGATCTCGCTACCTTCAGTATCCATCATAATAGCTACGGCGAAGCCTTTCTCTTCGTTGAGTCTTCTTACCCGCTTGATCACCGTTTGATGCCACTCGCGTGTGCCGTGGCACATGTTGATTCGAGCCACGTTCATGCCTCCGACAGCCAACGCTTCCAGCTGCTCGAACCCGCATGTGGCTGGACCGATCGTGCAGATAATCTTCGTCCGCCTCGTGCTCCGGAATCCGTTCTCCTTCAGCTCCGTCTCCGTCACCGCATCCACCTCGATTGCCGCCGCCGCTCCGGAATCCAAAGGAGCAGGAGACGGAATCGCCCCCACATTGTCCGCTGATAAAACCCTTGCAACTCCGCTCTGGCCGTTGCCGGAAGCCAGGACTTGCGATGACGTGGCATCGAGATCTGAAGATAACGATTTTGTGATCGTGATAAAGTATTTTTTGGTCGGGATGTTAATTACGGGGATCCGGAGATAGGACGTCGCCGGAAGTTTCGGGAGAATGAGATAAGGAGAACGAGAGGGAGTCAAGAACTGAAGGGACTGCGACATTGTTACCGGAAAAGAAAACAGTTGCCCGTGGCCGGAAATGTTCGGAGCAAGTGAACTGGAAGTTCTCTATTTCTCTTATTTTTCCAGTTCTTAAGGGGAAATTGACAAGGAGGGAGGCGGATAAACCGAGGAGAAGAACCGTGTTTGGAGCTTGGGAAATGTCGCCAAGTGAGTAGGCAGCTGACAAAAAAAAAAGCTTTTTTCTGCTGCTTGCCAAACAGATCTTCGAGGACTGTTAAACGGCAAAAAAATCTAGGAAGCACTAGGAAGTGGCAGGTTGGGTTCAGGAGTGCTAGGATGAGATCGGGTGCAATCTTTTCGATTACGTGGCTAATTTTGGTTAGCTAAAATTAGGGGGTGTTGGAGAACAAAGGGGCTTTGGCTTTGTAATTTTGAGAACGTGGAAGTTTAAAGGTTTACGATGAGATTGAATCACTGGAGTGGATCTATGAAAGAACTGGACTTCTGGGCTTAAAAACTGCTTTAGTTTGGGCCTTACCGAAGTGGAAGAATAGATCGTGGAGAGAACATTTGATTTTCCGGCACACTGAAGATATTTAGGCTTTAGGAAAAAATATCTATTATTTTTAAATTTTTGTAATATACATATATGATCAAAATTTACTCAATGTTTCACTTTTTTATTTTTTTTGTAATTTTTTTATATTTAATAAATTCTTTTTTAAATTTTATTTTTTAAGTGAGACTCAAAATTTTTTTATTTTTTACTTTTTTTTAAGATTTTAAATTTATTTTTTATATGATTCATTTGATGATAAAGACATGCCAATTTTTTATTATTTATATTTAATAAATATTTTTTAAGATTTTAAATCATATGTCATGTTATTTATTTTCTTCTTTTTAATTTCTTTCTTTTTTATCTTTTTTATTACTTTTTCTTTCTTTTCTTTTTTTTTTAAATATTTATATATTTTTATAATATTTTATTTTGAGACAGGTCAAATGGGTATTTAATTATTTTGTTTTCCAATAATATACCTTAAGGCAAGCTGAGTATTTCTTTTTTAAAAGAAACAAATTTGCGTCGAAAATATATTTAAAATATTTTATTTTGAGTTATTTCAAGATATATATATAATTTTATATTTTATTATTTATTTAATTATATATACTATATTAATAAAATTATTTTTTTTAATTTAATAAATTAATATTTTAAACTCAATATGAGTATTAATGTGATAATTTTTGTGAGTTTTTATTTCTCATTTTTACTTTTTTTATTTTTTTTATTTTTTTTTATTTTTAATTTTTATTGGATAAATTTATGAAAAAATATAACCAATTAAAATACCATGTGTCAGTCCCATTTGTTTTTATTTTTTTTATCTTTTTTTAATTTTTTAATTAGATTAATTTTATTAAAAAAATACAATTAATATAAATAGTATATCAAAACAATTTTACTTACGAGAATGCGTTCATATTTTTCTAATATATTATTATTTTATACAACATCAACTAATTTTTTAAAATTTATGAGCAACATTAAATCTGGATTGATCCTTAATTAGAGTCGAATCAATATTTGTATTGTTCAGACAATTGATTTGAAAAAATTTGGATTGATTCGTTGAAATTATAAAAAAAAAAAAAATTGTGATTTGTTAAAGCTTTTATTGATTCCAATTAATTACATATAATTTCTTTAATAATTTTAAAATCATATTTAACTATTTCCCCAAAAGTTTTAAAAATTTTATATTGCCCTAATTTCCTAATTTTAGTTTTTTCAAATTGGTCAATTTTGGGCTTTCATTTGTCTAATTCTTTTATAATCTGAAAAATTACTAATGATTTTAAGCCATTATCTTTACCAAATAAACAAAACTATTTTCAAAACCAAATATTGTACTATTATAATTTCAAAAAAAAATTTATAGTACTATAACTGCATTTTGTCATTTGATAATTAATAAAATAAGGAAATAAATGTAAGTTGCATTAATATGGAAAATCAGAGATCCAAAATTGAAAGATGGGAATATTTGTTATTAAAAGAAAAACTTTTGTAAAAAAAAAAAAAAAAAAAGGAGAATAACTTAAAAAGAATTCCAAATGTGTGAGCACAATATTTGTAAAAAAATAATAATAATAATGGCAAAGCACCACGTAATCAGCACTAGGCATACAGGACAGCAGCAACCGTGTCAAGGACAGCAATTACCTGTATGCCTCTCTTCCCCGCAAATAATTTTCTGCTTTCTTCTAACATTCAAAAAAAAAAAGAAAATCGGAATTTCTCTCCATTCCCCCATAAAATCCGTTTCTATTCCTTCACGATCCACGCTATCACCTCCATCACCACTGTCCATCATCACCACAATCAAATCTCTCAATTCAGGTAAAATAATGGGATTTTTATTTATTTATTTTGTTAGATTCGTTTCTTTGATCGATTTAAGGTACGAAGGTTTCATTTTTTTTTTTTTGAAGGAAGCAAAAAAGATGGGGGCTTTCATATCGAAGTTTTGGTTCATGTTATTTCCCGCAAAGGAATATAAGATTGTGGTGGTGGGGTTGGATAATGCAGGCAAAACGACGACGCTTTACAAGCTTCACCTTGGTGATGTCGTTACTACCCATCCTACTGTTGGTAGCAACGTTGAAGAGCTTGTTTATAAAAACATCCGCTTCGAGGTAATCTTTTCTCTCTTTCTTTTCTTTTTCTTTTTTTTTTTTTACTTTGAGATTTTATTTCCTATTTCTCGATGATTTAATTTCTGGGCTTTCTTTTTTAAATCTTTTTTTATTAAATTTTGTGGAAATAGTTTTCATGTTGTGATTATATAGCCACCGGAATGGGATTTTTGTTGATCTTGAAACATGGTGAATGAATTTTTATTGTGATTTTTTATGAGCATTATGAACTGAATCCTCATATTTAGAGGGAAGTTAGTTTGTACGTAGATTTTGGTACTTAGGAATTAGCATTTGCAACTTGTTTGATGCATAATCTTGGCCGAATGGTAGCTTTGATCTCTGGTTAGGGTGCCGTGTTTGAAGTATTATTCATAATGGTTCACCGGAAACTTGGAAAGCAGATTATTCTTGTTTTGTACTGGAGGAGGAATTTTGTTGTTTATTTTGGCTATAGAGGTGTGCTTTTAAGAATCGGATGAGGATTTAGATATGCAATATGGCTATGGTTGTACTATTTTGATGTGTCACGAATCTGTTTTACCCATTTTTATTCATTTCTTTTTTTTTTTGGATAAGTAGCATTTTCATTATCCAAGAAGCAGAAGCTCTGCTAACAAGTAACAAGAAGCAGTAAACCTGCTACCAAGTTACAGATCAAACATATCTCTACTTAGCTCCCATCTCTTACACAATTCTTGGTTTACATGATCAAAAGCAATACTTTTAAGTCCAACTAAGCGTAGCCTGACCACATCTCTAATCTGTCATAGGATCATGTCCCCTGCTGTTTCTCCTGACTTGTAGATCCTCTTATGCCATTCTGCCCATATCCAATATATGTACCCCTATGCAATATATATACGCCCCCCAATGCCAGTCGAAGGATTACAGAAATTAATGCCTTCCATTCGAGCCTAGTTACAGCCCATTGCACTTCATTGTCCCATCCAGCAACTTTCTGTGCAGGTTACATTGGTACAGTACTTGCCTCCAAACCTCCTTTGAATAATTGCAGCTGAAAAACTTATGATCCCTGGTTTCTTTCTCCTGCCTACATAGTACACAAACCTCATCTGTCTGAATCCCCCACTTTGCCATCCTGTCGTTAGTCGGAAGCCTGCTTTGCATTGTTATCCAAGCAGTTATAGCAGTTTATCCATAAACTAATGGTGCATCTAGAGCTTTGGTTCTGCCTACTTACAAAACTATAAGGTCCTTTTATTGGTTCCACAACATGCTTTATAGTTTTCTGAGCAGAACACTGCATTGTGTGGTTTCACTAGAGTATATGTTTGCCCTATAGGATGGATATAGACATTTATCCCTTTTTCATCATAGGTTCCAAGAGTCCTTTTGGCTGTAAATGATTATATTGAAAATGGCACATGAATGTTTTTCCCTTTATAATATATGCATTGAAGTAAAGAGACAGAGACACGTTAAATATGTCAATTAGGCATGCTGCCTTTTTTCACTATGTCAATCGGATGGATCTGTTCTTAATCCATTCTTGTTTTTTCTTTGTATTTAATTTAATTTAATTGTCCGAGTTGAGTTAGTCTTTCTTTTTCTTTTAGTTTGCAAATTAATATAATATGAGGGAATTTGATGGCAGAATGCAATTTAGCTAGCAAATTCTACCTGCTTGTCCTTTATGAAGGTCCAATTTTGATAACCTGACTAATTCCGTCAGGTCTTGTTGATCTTGTTCTTGCTATAGTTTTAGCTTGTCATTTATGAAGATCCAATTTTCAAGCAGTACTTTGATTATGAGATTCACCCTAAGAAAAGAAATTGAGACTACCAACTAGATAGGACATAGCTCAGTATATTCTTTTCTTATGGAATTGTGTGCTAAACTAAAATTAGCATCTAGTGTACATAGATCGGTGGGGGTTGAATGTGATGGTTTCATTTAGATTTTACGAATCAGCTGGGCACCTAAATATTTGTATTTGCCTCAGGTCTGGGATCTTGGTGGGCAAGAAAGACTAAGAACATCATGGGCAACATATTATCGGGGAACTCATGCTGTTATTGTTGTGATAGACAGCACGGATAGGTCCAGGATCACCATTATGAAGGATGAGCTCTTCAGGTTGCTTGGACATGAGGACCTTCAACATTCTGTTATACTTGTGTTTGCAAATAAACAAGATTTAAAGGATGCAATGACCCCAGTTGAGATCACTGATGCCCTTTCGCTGCACAGCATAAAAAATCATGACTGGCACATCCAAGCCTGCTGTGCACTTACTGGAGACGGTTTGTACGATGGTCTAGGCTGGATTGCCCAGCATGTTACTGGGAAAGCACCAAGTTGAAAAGGAGATTTCAATCAAAGAGAATTCATTTTTCATATATTATGGATTCCGATGACTGAAACGGTCAACTTTTGTGTAACATCTGCTGTATGAGCTTTTGTCAGTTTTGTACATTGTTTTCACATTTCAATTTGCTTGAAGAAATTGACATTTTCTGCACTATGAAGCTTTTCACTTAACCAATGACAGAGAAGAAAATGTTGCAATAAATAGGATTAAAAAAAATTGCTGTAAAATTGTCATTTTCTGCACAACGAAATATTTCATAACCATCAACACTAGTAACAGTCAACTCTTCAAATCAGCAACACTGTCACAGTATCCAACATTTGCAACATTTGCAACATTTGCAACATTTGCAACCTTGAGCTTCCTGAGGGCCTTCAAACCATCGATCCCACAAAGGATTTAGAGGGCCATTTGTTCTGAAAACCAATGATGAAGACAATTTTCAGGAATTGTAAGAAATATTTTGAGAAGAATTACAACAAAAATGAAATGAGAAAAGGAATGTTGAAGAGATGCATGTATTACATGGGGAGTAGAGGATCAGGTCTACTTTCCACATTGCTCAGCATCCTGTTATGCATACGAAATCAAATTTGAATCAGCTTTGCCCTTAATTTTCATACTAAGATAGGAAATGAATACCAAGTATTCTTCATACTAACTCTTTGCATGCAGCTGATGCCTTCTCCATCCTTTCTATCTGCTCCAACTCTTCCTGTACAGTGTATACACAGAACATAATGGAAGGAAACAAAAATAGTAATTACTCCAGTATTTGTAGTAGGATCAGATCAAATGATAAGAACCTATAGGCAAAAAGACATTCTATATTCTAATCTTAAGTTTATAAGGTAAAGTATGAAACATCAACTCAACAAATTTCTCAAAATGATGGCCACATCAATATTTTCCAACTTTCAATATACAAGACTGCATGAAATTACAGTTATTGGACAGATTCTCATTGTAAAACAGGAAAAAAAATTTCGTAATTCAAGTTAATCAGCATCTTCAATTTTTCTCAAATATATTATCATGGTAGAAACTGAAATTTTCCGAGAAGGCTTCAGTTATTGCAGCCAAAATCATTGGGTTCTGGCTCCAACTGACAGACTACAATTTCCGATGGAAGTATGAGAAAGCAACCTAAACTGATTAACAACTTATGTTGCCTCTTCCAATCTATAAAAGAAAGAAAACATAAGCAAATAAATAACTAATTTAAGTATTTAACCAAAGTTTAGAAAAATGCCTTAACAATCAAGAGACACAGACCACGGCAAAAAAGACAAAGATTTGAAGTGCAATCAGAGGAACATAAATCATATAAAGAAGTGGGAGCAACTGCAGTTGAATAGGAATTTTTGAAGGAAAACTACAACTTTAGCTTGGGATTATAATAAGAAACACACTCCATCTTTATCCCGTCCTAATTGTCAGCAAAAACATATAAAATCCACTTAAAGGGATGTCCACCTGGTTGCGAATACAAAGCTGGTATAATAAATTCCCTCCCTCTTGCACATTCATAGAAACTAACCAGTAACTTTTTATGGATAAATCACAATACTAATTCCAACCTAAACAAAATTTCAAAATTCAATTGTTCTGGCCTGGAACAAGTAACTTTTGGAAGAAGACTCCCTGCCATTTTGGTGAAGGTAAATTATTAAGCTTCACAAATGAAGCAATAACATTCATATTATTACAAGTTAATGTAAGTAACAGCGTAAGCTTATCTTTGCTGGATGCATATTTTATCCCAACAGATTATAAGGGCAGAACACCATTGTTTGTTCCAAAAGGTTGAAAAAGTATAAAGGTAACGGAAATTTCAACAAGTCTGACATAACAAACTACAGCCACCATGTATCTGAATGGAAATAAACCAAAATTGCAGGGTGATGAGGTGTAAATAAATCAGTGAAAGTGAGCATAAACTAAAAGGGGCTCAAAAATCAAAATTTTAGACATTGGAGACCTAGCTACCTAACATGAACTGCAAGCTCTTAAAGTCATTGTATCTCATAAAGAAATACTAGTACATCACAAATTCTAACTTAGTGTTTGCAGTAAGATGCTTTAAACATAAGGGCTTCCAGATAGGCTAGTGACATCAATGAAATCACAGCTGAGAACAGTAAAGATAGCAGTTCTACCAGAGGAAGAAGCCATTGAATAGTCAATCTGAAATCAGAAACTAAGGCCCTACTGAATTAAAGCAAAGAAGTTGATTTGATGGAAGTGAAGAATAGAGCTACCGTAGTTAAGAGAATTTCTGATGATACCAGAAGGCTTAACTTGTCAGACCAAGAGACCACCTATGCATTGAAGGTGATCTAAAGCAATACAATATACGTCAGGTTTTCTAGATTTAATACCCCTGACAATCAAAAAAGTAAAATGATTTCTTTGGATAGCAAAAGGATTTAATTCAATGGCATTTGCTCAATATCCAACTTGAAAATTCCAAAACAAGAGACAAAATTCAGGTGACTTGAACAAAGACAACAAATAGGCAATTGAATTCAATCTGTCTGCTATAAATTATATACTGACACCACTCACAACCTAACTTCAAGATTTATCATTTCAAATTCAAAGACACAATCAGATAATCAATCCAATCCAGAACAATTAAAAATCAAACACTCAAAACAAGAAAACCAACATTTCAGTAGCTAAACGAACAACCCAAAAAAAAAAAAAGATCATTTCACTAACCTCTAAGAATCTAGCTTCTTGTTCTAGCCTATTGAGTTCAGCTTGTATCCTATGCTTCCCTCTAGTATCAGCAGATTGAAAAGATTGGACCCGCTGGGGAATCAGACTCACCACGGATTGTGACGGACCCGATTGCATCTCTTTTGTTACACAACTCAATACTATCCAAAACAATTAACAAGAAGAAAAAAAATGAAAACCCAGAACGCCAAAGCTTTAGTTTTGGACAAAGAACAACCTTTGAAGAAACGAAAAAGAAGGGCCAAAAGGTGAAGCTTTTCAGCTTGTTGTATGAGAAAAAACAAGAAAGCAGCGAGGCGAATAAGATGTCCGAGAAATCTTCATGGACCCCATAAAAGCTTAAACTTAATCAACCGACTACTTCTCTCTTTGAAAACAAAACACAATAAAACAAAAACAGAGTACCCTTTTTCTTGCAAAGACAAATAGATCTATAGATATTTAGGCTGAAAGTGGAGAAACAGAAGAGTTCCTTTTTCCTTACTGCTATTTGTTATTGGGCTTTCGGAGGAAAGAGAAAGAAACAAAGCAAAGAAGGCTTTTAAGTTTAAAAGTGTTTTTTTTTGTTGGTCTCTTTCTGTTTTTGTTTTTAATTCCAAAGAAGTCCTTTTAACCCTGTTTTTCCCCACGCGATGTTTCCAACACTGTTCGAGTGTGAAAAGTTCATCATATCTTGCTTTGGGATTTTAGGATTATTTTTCAAATTGTGAATTTTAAACTTAAAATTAATAGTTCTTATATTTGTATATATATATATATATATTTAATATTTAATATGTATAAAAAATAAAAATTATTACTCCCTCCATTCTAAAATATTTATTATGTACTAACTTTCATGGAATTTAAAAAAAAAAAACTTTGATTTTAATATATTTAATATTTAAATTTAATTTTTTAATAAAATTAAAATTTCTTAATTGTTAATTTCAAAAAGTAAAAATAAATATTAAAAAAAAGAATTTAAGATGTTAAAAAAATGACATAATTTTGAGACATTTAAAAAAAGATAGACCAAAAACAATCTCATAATTAAATTATTATTAAATTTATATATAATTATTGTAAAAATTTTAAATTATACCCTTTTTTTATTATTTTTGTATTATATTATTTTATCATGTTTAAAAGTTACCTAATGATTAAAAAAATTCTTAAGAGAACATAAAAGTTTTAATTTCAAATGAAAATCTTTTTTTTTTTTAGCTATGTATATTGTGTGAAAAAAAATTGATAAGCCTATTTAAAATTTATCTTTTGGGTATAAGTAAAAAGTAACTCTCCTAATCAATCGGATTTGATTCCTTTTTTATGGATTTGATATGATGCTGCTTTTTGAAATATGAATTAATTTGGATTGATTTTAACATTTAAATTGAAATTTGGATTGGTTGAATTTAATTCTATTAATTTGTGTAATTTTGGGAGTTAATTTACTCATATATCAATCAATTATTTTTTTTTAACTCAATGAAGAATCAAATTGAAGCTAATACTCCACTTTATTTTCAACTAATTGTTTGAATTTTGCATCAAAAGGAGAGTATTAATGTTGTTTTACCCATAATTATGATTCAACTATGTATGTCAAATAGTTGATGTTAAGATAGTGAACATTGATTATATGATTTCTTTGCAATTGTCAAATTAGCAATGATAAAGCAAGTTACGGTAGTCAAATATAACTTTGAAAAGAAATCTTTGATTTTTTTTTATGTATAAAAGCAGTTAAAACTGCTTAAACAATACAAAATCTAAGCCTTGCTATGCAGAGCAAAGCATCCAATGGTGCAATAACAATACAAGATTTTGAATGCACCTTCCAATTGTTACAACAACATTCCTTTTCTCAACCAAATATGGAGTAATTGAGTCGTTTTATCCATATCCAAAGAAGATAGAGGCCATGCGAAAGTGGCCAATTCCACATAATGTGAGCCACCTAAGGGGGTTTCCATTTTTTAGGCTTCCAAGAAGATTTAGTAATTTAAAATAAGATATAAAAATAATATGAAAAAAAACATGAATATGTTATGATTTAAAATTTTAATAAAAATTACATAAAAAAATTATAAAAACAAAAAGAAAAGGTATTTTGTATTAATAATACGTAATTTTCATATAAAATATGATATAAAATATATGAATTATTAATTTTTTAATGATACAAATATACGAATTGTCACTGGTTATTATAAAAAATTGGTTAAAACTATGACAGTATTTGCAAGCTATTGACTGCCTTACTCAAGAAGAATGGGTTCAAGCTAATAGAGGAAACCAATGCGGCTTTGCAAGCACTCAAGGAGCCAACGATCTCACCACCAGTGCTGGTTCTGCCAGATTTTCAGAGTTTTGTTATTGAGACTGATGCTTCAGGCACTGGAATTGGAGCTATTTTAATGCAAGGTGGCCACCATCTGGCTTATATCAATAAGGCATTGTCTCCTAGGCACCAGGGGCTTTCCCTTACTGAGGAGGAGCTATTTGCTATAGTGTATGTAGTTACTCAATGGCATCACATTGCAGTATCAAAACTTATCATTAAAGCCTCGAGCACCTGTTGCAGCAAAGAATCACTTTCCCTAGTCACCACTCATGGCTCATAAAATGAATGGGTTATGATAATGACATCAATTATATGAAGGGTAAGGACAATGTGGCAACTGATGCACTATCAAGGGTGCAATCTGGTGAGCTTTTGTTGATGTAAATCTCCATTATCTCTGCTGAATCACTGATTTGATTTTGTTAGCTGCAAAACAGGAGTTGGGAAGCTGATCCAGAAATTAGCAAGATCATTGCAGCAAAACACATCGGTCAATTACAAAATAACCCATAAAAAATCAGAAAGAAAACTTTTTAATGAAAAAAAAAAAAGAAAAAGAATATTCTTTTGTAACGCATTTAACACTTGATTGCATGGCGCGATACAAAGGCAGCGGTAAGGCAGTGCTTGACACATGGAAGTTCAAGGAACCCCGGAACCATTAACACGTCGCCTTCCTCACGTGTTGCACAGACGGCACTTTTTTTGAAGTTAAGAGCGCGTGCTTTGTTACTTTTTTCGGGCTGCTTTTTGTGTACGACCTTAATATTTGCCTAGCTCCTTCGCCTGTCTCCGTTGGCCACGTGGCACTTGTCAAATTTATGTCATCTCCGTGGTTTTAACATTTCATTTTCTTTATTAGGAGTCAAAAAAAAATTAAAATTATAGGATTCGATGGTTCTACTGAATTTTTTTATTCTATTCATATTGAATACAAATCTTAAATGAATATTATATTCGAATCAAATTGAAAAAAAAAAAAAAATTGAATTGAATTATATATTTGTATTTATTTTATATATTTTTTAAAATTTTTGTAAAATAAAAATAATTATTTTATATTTAAATCTATTTAAATATATTAAAAATTATATTAAAATAATAAATAAAAAATAAAAAATTTATTAAATCGAATCAAATTCAATTTAAATCTTATAAAAATTTTATTTGAATTCAAATTAAATTTAAAAATTTTATAATTTTATACATTATTTAAAAATGTAGATTTGAATTTGATTTAGTTCGAATGATTATCATTCTTTTCTTTTTGTTATATCTTTTTTGGTAACTATATTCAATTGCAAAAACATTCTCGTAGTTCCTTTTTCTTTTTTTTTTTAAGTGTCATGACTTGAACTGGTTCAAGTTAATAATCCCTAAACTCTTCATGCTATGACTAAATTAATAACGATTTAATGTAATATATTTTTTATCTTGATATAAAATATAAAATTTCTCATACATAATTTTTAAATAATAACAATATTAGAAAAAATACAAATAACAAAGAAAATGCTTTACAATTGAAATCGTTATATAATACTGTTTCATTATTAATATTTTAAAAAATATTTTTTTGAATATATAATTAATCACTAATCAGATTATCTCTCATTTGATGCACAATCGATTTTTCACTATTTTTACCACTAAAAAATTGAGTAATCAATTTTTTATTAATTTCATTATTAAAAACTTTTATTTACACTTATTTTATTATAAAAAAATTATAATGAATGTATTTAAAAGTTTTTTCAATTAATGTGGAAATAGATTTGTGATTAGCATGAGAGAAATATTTTTAATTAATTTATATAATGTAAAAGATTGTTGTGATTAATGTGATATTTATTTTGAATTCGATGAGAAGAATGTATTTAATGAAAATCTTATATAAATAAACAAAAATCAAAACCTAGAAAATTGTTCAACGTCAATAGTTTATATAATTGATATGTAGACAATCTTGAAAAATAATCAAATAATTTTTTATTTAATTTGATTTAAATAAAAAATATTTCAAATAATTAATTATATTTCTTTCTTTTTAAATTTTCAATTCAATTCCTTATCTTTTTACATATATGTAACTTTTTATAATCTACGATTAAAATTTTAACTTAAATTATATTTAAACACAATATTTTTTTTTCCATATTTGTCAGAAAAGGCTTTAATATAAATTTAAACGGTCCATAATCATACTTGATTTTATGTCAAAATAAGTCATGTAATGAGATTATTTTTTGCATTCTATTATTATTGCCTTCCATAAGAAGTTCTCCTTTTAATTCATGATCAATTTTTCATATTTAAACTTCAAAATTTTGAATGTTTTTATAATTAATTTGCTAACCAACGACAATTATAAATTGGATTGATTTAGAGATCAATTAAGCTTTTATGTTTGAGTTTGTATTAAAAAATTTTCACAACTTATTTTTTGTTGATGTATTCATTTGCATATTCAAATGATCTTATGATTGTGTCTTTGCATGTATGTTTTGTTTTGTATGATGCAATATTTTATTTGCTTAATTTTTTTGGAATCCATGTATAACTTTTTAGAGACTTTTAGCAATTCAATTCATGTAATATTTTTTATATTAAGAAATACAATAAATGCTTCATATTAACATCTATAGCAATTTGATTTTGTATGCAAGTGGTATTAGCCAGAGTATATAGAGAGTTGATGTTAATAAATTATAAACAACTGTAAAAGTCTAAAGTAGTAATTGTTTCTCTTAGTTAGGAGTACAATGATTTTTAATAATTAGATTTGATTTTTTATATGCCTCATATAAAAATCACTCTACTCATAAGGTTTTAAAATGATTGAGGAATATATCATAGGAAGATTCAGCAACTATAGAAGAATTACTAAGGATGCTGCCAATTTGGCAATTTTTCCAAACTTAGGGCATCATTAAAAAAATTTTTTATTGATATTTTTTTTAAAATAGTTTTTGTGTTATAAATGAGATGTTATATTTTAATTTTAATTTGATTGTAATTTTTTTTTTTGTGAGCTTTAGTGATTTGTAACATTGTTTTTTTGACTTAGTACTTTTATCCTAATAACTTGGATAATTAATTAATTAATTTTTTTTTGTGCTATTGTAGTTGTTTATTAAAATTCATATAAGATTTCTTTTCATTTTAGTTGATATTAAGTTTATTTTTTACACAAGTTTGTATGGAGATGATGTGAATAAGTTTTCAATATGTCATATTTTT